GCGCACTGCGTTTGCCATGCTGTTTGCGATCATTGACGGGACTGCAGAGGATGGCGAGAAATGACAAATTTGAGGCAAAGGATATAGCGACGACCTGTCCAAGCAGCATAAAGATCCAAGCGTGGGGAATGTCTCTCTTCTTGGCTGGTCAGGCAGTTCCCCGTCAACGTTTTGCATTCCTCAAATGCAGCCAGCTGCCATTACATACGGGCACGACTCACCTTGAGCCGCGAGCAACACGCTCCAGTTAGCGCAAAACCCGAAGATTTGCAATGACCACCACGCCCTAGGACCCGTTTCGAGAGTCGAAACCCACGCCTGCTTGAATAGCGACGTGTTCCTTAACCACTCGCTCAACCTCAGCCCTTTCTCGTCCGAACCTGGAGCGGTCACATTCTCGTGGAAGGCGTGCACCATAGCCCATTGCGTGTATGACCACTCGAAGAAACGAAACATATGATACCAGGTCGTGGCCAGACTGAAGACGGCAAGAAAACCAAATCCGAAAATGATTTGGGGACTTGGAGACCCGACGGCGGCCGCGAAGGTCCCATTTTTGGGAGGAGGCGGGACGCGTCGTCGTTTCTGGCCACAGATAATGGCGACGGACTTGAGCGTGAGAGCGGCAGCCAAGAGCATGTAGCCCGTGAAAATGGCTAGAGGACGTACGTTAGAGACAGCCATAGTTGTCGTTAGACTGACTCCCGACACAAGCGGCCCAATAATGATGAAGTTGAGACGACGGTCCAAACTTAGAGATTGAGTCAGGTGGACGGAAGTCTTTCCGATAAGATCGGTCAATTAATAATGCGTATCTGGGTGGGCGGGGGCGTTGGTGTGGAAGGCTCGGCGGGTTAGCGCAAGTTTCTGTCCAACGAAGATGGGGACGATAACTGTTATCGGAAAGTTCCAGCTGGTGGTGAAACCAGCGCACCGAAATGGCATAGTAAATAAACCGATTTCTCGGCAACGCGCTTCACGAAGCTGGCTGGAAATTAGTGGTAGTCCAAGTTGATATTTGGACTGATGAGTATGGCTACAACAGAGCGCGCGAAAAAGTATTAAGCAGCCCATTCATATTGAGCCGGTGGAAGAATTCATTATGACTAGCGACTTTTTGACCACGTCGCCTGCTATAAGACCATGCACTACCTGCCGCCATTCTTAGAGCGATTCCCAACTCCAAAGGGATGAAAATTGGCCATTCAAAGGGAACAGTCTCCGTTTAATTCCCCGAATTCAGTACCGATGTGTTTGGCGTAATTTGCCATTATGAATCCCTTTCCCTATGTATGTACTGACTAACTGATCGCTTGTATCTAGCTAGATGTGCAAATAAAGTTCTGAAAGGGCTTTGAGACTGCTTTCGTACGTGGAATTTCAGGCGCGTCAGAGTGCAGGTATGTTACTTTACATCACCATGGTATATCCAAATACCGATTTCTGGACTGCCCTGCCCATCCATCTTACTATGAAGTAACACAGTTACCCTCGTTAATAGGTCATACTAGATTAAACTGGGAGTGACTCTTTCAGAACACGAAGAAAACATACCCCCACCGGCGTATGTTTTACTTCATTACATAAAGTTACGGATCAAACTCTGATCTTATTTCGTCATTGCATTTCCATCTTGACCGGATTTTGTCTCGAGAGTATTGTTGGGTGGAATCAAGCTTCTGGCTCGAGGAGCGCCTGAATAGGCAAACTTTATGACCTTTTGTTGCATCACAACAATTTTATGATATACCACTGTAAATCCTCACAGTGCTAGATCCACCGTCACGGTGTGTGTGCTTCTGTCGATTCTCAGATTTGTTGTCACACGAGATTAACTCATATATCGATCATTAATCGATCGCCAGCTCGATCTTCCCCTTTGTTTGAAACGGCCCACTGCCTACAAAGTCAAAGAAGTATATACGCGATTGATGATGTCGTAGTTTATCACAGAACCCTTGTCAGTGATTCTGGGGGATGGCCCTTCCTGTGAAACAAGGGAGGGGGCATAAGTCGGGAATAACATTAATCCGCGTGAGCAGGTTCTATATATTTGCCTCACGTCATAGTCGCAGATGCACCCCACCGGTTCTGACCAAAACCCCTAGGCAAGTTTTACTATGGTCACAGTCCTGAACTGAACAAGCTCAAATACGTACTTCGCTTGGGAACAATTGAATCCCTGATGGGATACTACGCTATTTACCTTGCGTTTGCCGCGCTGGCCGCCTTTGCCGCCCGACAGAATCTGGCAGCCCCATCCCGCAAAAGACATAAGCTCCTCAGACACTCTAACGAGCGCGTCCTCATCCTCGGGGCTTCCAGCGGCGTCGGCCGCGCTGTTGCCAAGCGGTATGCATCGCGTGGAGCACGAGTCTGTGTAGTGGCACGTCGAACTGAAGAGATCGCCGCCCTCTCCCAAGATTGCGGAGAGAGATGTATCTGGCACGCCGCAGACTTCAGCGACGTCAACGATTTGATCAGGCTAAGGGCTCGTCTCGAAGATGAATGGCAGGGCCTGGACACTTTACATATTTGTGCTGGTGTATCTGCCTTGCAACCCATTATGGCTCTCACTGGAACCATGTCCGCCGACGATGATGCGGGCGCGGCAGGGATTCAAACGGCTGTCGACATTGCGGGACGGGCTTTGAAGGGGAATTTCTACGGGCCATTCGCCTCGGCTCTGACATTTGTGAGATTTTCTCTTGCTCAAAGCACGTAAACGGCACTAAGAGTTGACAGGTTCCCATGTTGACGAGAACCTCCGAGTCACCGTCGATTCTTCTAGTCTCCTCAGTCGCTGCGGTGATACCTGCACCAACGAGAGCGCTCTATGCAGCAACCAAAGCCTCTTCGCTGTTGCTGTTCCAGTCTTTAGCAATAGAGCACCCCAACATTGCATTCGCCTTCATTCTGCCGGCAACTATCGAAGGCAATTTCCGAGCGTCTGCAGTAGATTCTGGCCCTGTCAGGGAAGATGACCCGAATAAGCACGGGTTGAAGATCGATTACGTTGCTGATAAGTGCATTGATACAGTCGATCGTGGTATTACTGGGAATGTCATATTGCCCAAGTTTCCGTATGCTGTTGCACAATATTTGTATCTTCTCTGGCCATCTTTCATCGAGGCTCGTGCGCGTAAGAAGTATAACTTTGAGCCGTAGGACAGGTTCGGGCATAAATCATCAGTGGGGTGGTTATGCTATTGGGCGTGTACACACAAAGAACACCTTCATTTTATTCTTGAGCGTGATTGAGGGTTGGGACGCTTGGAAATCTCAGAGGGTGGCGGGGGAGGTCAGGGTTGAGAAACGAAGCAGCAAGTGAATTAGGTGGGGTGAGGCTATTCGTTCATTGTAATTAATTCCCATTATGACTATGGGAGAGATCTTGGGTCACAGCCAAGGACTAGACGCTCCCTGAGCTGCTTCCAGAATAGCCACTTATCCTTTCACCTTAAACTGATATCCCAACGTCCCGCAGTCTCTAGCTCTCCCAACGAAATTCCAAAGTCACAAGCGTAAAGAACTTGAGATTCTACTACGACTACCCATCAGCAAACGTAAATTGACTCAGTGGTCAAGTCACTTACTTCCACAGTCCATTGTCATCGTCCCCATACGTAGGCTTATCAAAGATGGCGCCATTCTTGGCGGAACAGGAGCGGGCCGAGCGGTCAATCGCCTCTGGTCTTGCTGCGATCTTGGCGCCGATGCGCTTGTACAGCTTGTTCTCCTTCATCCAAACATCGAGCTCGAAGGGGGTAACGTACATGTTGACGACGAGATCATGGTAGAGGGTGAAGAGCTGGCAGGGGTCACGAGTATTTCTGCAGCGGCTTAAGCCGCAGTCGTCCTCGGCATGATAGTCAGTGGGGAGTTCATCCAGAGCAATGGCCGCGAGTAGGATATCGGCAGTCTTTTTGGGGCGGTTTTGGCACGCGATCCTGTGCATGCCAGCATCCGCGTTCGACTCGTTAAGGTCCATGTATTCCTCGCAAGACTTGTAACAGATCCAATCGTTACCGCATGAAGCGCACTTGCGAGAGGTAGGTCGTCTCTTGCAGACAATGCAAGTGCCCTGATCGTCGGTGGGGTTAGGCGTCTCGTACGGGTCGTGGACACACTTGCGGGCGAGATCATCGCCCATTGTCCAGGCTTCGCATACTCCCACGTTCTCAAACTCTTGTTCCAAGCCGGCGACAGAATCAGGAGGCTGGTTAACACCAGAAACCTGACCGGTGTCCTCTATGTTCATACCCATAGGTAGACTTTTGTTGTGTTGCGTGTCACCCATGTAAAGCTTGCTGTTCCAAGTTGACTGGGGGCTCTGTAAGACGAAAAAAAGGAATGAGATGGGAAATTTGCAGATGAATATCTAATCTGTCTGGGGTCAAATCAGAAAATTGTTGAGGTTGCCTAAAAGTAGCAAGAAGAAGGACACAGGGGTATCAGAGATAAGGAACTTATGGTGTTTCAAGCTTGACTAAAGGGAAAGTCACCGCACAATGGCTGTAGAAGTGGTGGGAGATGTCAATTCTCATAATGCCATCACCTGTTTATTACAACCAAGTAACGAATGGGTTAACAAGCGTTGTTGTTTTTATCACAGTACCTCTTTCTCTTGGTGACTCATACCTGTTCCTAAGAGCCCATCGAATCTCATCAGGATTAACGTCTTCAAGCTGCTAACTCACCTGTTAGAAAACCCAGACTCCTCCCCTGCCTCCACTGCCTGGTTTCTCTGGATTCAGCCAGTAAAGTAACCACTGCAAATTGTAAAAAGCAGCATCATCAAGACGGTAATTAACATACTATTTAATAGGGCGCAACACTTTTCACAGCCTGCTACAGTGTATTAGGAATGTTAATGTCTGTCTTCCTAGTGACTATGCTTGCAGAGGGTCGATTTTCTATATGTCTTGTTAAAGGGAACTGAAATCATTACCATTCAATATGTACGCTATCATGATTTGAGTGGACATCAAGTCAGATAGTCCGGCATGGTGTAGCGGTTAGCATACTCCGCTTTCAATTTGGAAGTTCCGGAGAGATCCGAGTTCGATTCTCGGTGTCGGAAATGTTTTCGTTTTGCAAATTTTTGTTACCCCGCCAAGTTTTTTCGCCACCCTCTCTCTGTAACGTAGTTCAAGACATTAATATTTAATTACCTGCCTTATTAGTAGCTAAAAAGAGAACAAATATTAATTAGTAACAGGTAGTTCTGAGCAGTTTCTTTTCTAAACCCTTACTGTTAAGTCACGCAGAGAGGTAGCAAGACAGGCAAATCTGTCCCTGACAATATGCTGTGTAAAAGGGACGCTAGCGAGAACGACGGAAATACTATAAATGGAGCAGGGACAGTAAAGTCGGCGACAGAGCACAGTGACGAGAAGCTAGCTACCAGTCCAGCCAATCTTAAACAAGGGTGTCTAAGGCCTTTAAAGCACCACTATTCTCGCTGCAATACTGTGATCCTTCAGCGTTGCTGGTCCCGATGGTATTCGAATTTGGTGGAGATGTGCACCGCAGCGCAGCAACATACCAAGTACATCCGGGCAATAAAACGAATAAAAAGAAAAGGTTCTAGGAGGGTGAAAACTTATTCTCAACTCGTCAGAGACTCCTGGGTCTTGGCTACGCCATGCCGCACATTGTCATTAGTTTATTATCGGCGCGGTACGGGGATGTTATGTTGGTCTGGAACGGAACGGTCTCGCAGGCGATTCCTCGCATGTCTGGCTGTGTTTTCCAGTCCTACTTTATACGGGCTCAAACGACCGTGGTGATCATAGTACTAACATCCGGTGAAATTCGGCATGAATTGGTATAGAAAAGAAAGGCTTAACGCTAGTTCAACAGGTATGAAGATGTGGTCGGGACTCAAAGTGACGCCTTGGTCATTAGCCTCAAGTGGATTATAGGAACCTTAAGGCTAGGTAGGTTGATGATTGACGAGTCATCAGCTTGAATCGTCTTGGCTGGTACTTCAACGTCCCCGAGATGTTCGAAACCAAACTTCATATATATCGGGAAACCGGCCTTGGACGCGTCAGCCACTATTCCCGCACAAAAGCTCGCTGCTGTTGCACCGATAAGCCGCATAAAACGCAGACCGTAACCCATCGATTGAAACTCTGGAAGTATAGCGAATGAAACAGCCTCCACAACGTTCTGATTCTCAATGATCGGACCGACGATTAGCCTTTGCTTTGCAACGAAGCTGTCAATAGCGGCCTGGTCGATGGCCTTATTCGGCGATTTCTTCTTCCCCAATTCGAGTAGATTCCGGTAAAGGGCTGTGCATGCAACAATATCAGGTCGTGTCAGTCTACGAACACTCAATACGACTCAGAGTGGCGGAACTGTTGTCTACGCAATAACAACAAAGTCTGACAGGTCTGCACTTACCCTTTTCCGGGCTATCCGCGTCAAATTGGGCTTTCTGCTCGGGCGTTCCATGGTGGACCATGGTCAGATACCCAATAAGCTTCTGGTTGACCAACGACCCGGGCTGGGGCATGATGTCGCCATTCTCGAGCTCTGCTACAAACACCTTCGCACCAGGTTGTACAAACACATTGACCAAACTGGCCAAAATGCCGTCGTAGAATGCTTCCGGATACAGCGAACGTTGGGGATAAAAGTGTGCATAGATGTCGTCCCTATAGAAGGCTCGGGCTCCGATAAGCGCAAGAAGGCCGAGTTCGGAATGTTTAGCTTCGCGGAAACGCATGATGAGATTTGCATTAAGCGTGATTCGATAAGTCTCCTTCACAACGAACAAATTGTTCACGGCGTATTGGATCTACTGTAGTGGCAACCTGCTTTTTATAACGGAACCGCAAATGAATATAACTATCCCGTGCAGAATTCTCATACTTCTCTTCGCAATTAACCTATGTCTTAGTATCCGTAGCGCGATTCCCAAGAATATAATTACACCCTTGTTTATAAAAAGTTTTTCCAGGCTTGACAGAATCCACTCCAGGGGTTTTAACATCGGTCAGGATCCACATCGCGCACCCCGATGGCGAGAAGCCTTCGTATGCCATATTTGAGGGACCACGTAACAATCTGTAGTATGTAGCGCATGTCAAAAACCCTGTTCTTGCGATAATTAACTGCCCGCTGACTCAAGCAAACAGTCTGTCTGACAAGCTCTGATCAGGGCAAATTGTGTGATTTCAATGGCCATGACTTCGCTACTTGGATAGTCCGAATGAACCTAGGTTGTTACCGTTCAGCATACTTATCGCATGCGTAAATTAGCCACTTCCTGTGCGTGATTCAACAGAGAGAAAGAAAAAGAAAAAGAAAAAGAAAATCGACAGCAACCCAAGATGAGTATCCAGCCCAAGAATACAGTACGTGCATTGTGAGGCAGAAAGCTCCTTCACGTTCTCTGTTGACATCCCAAGCAGACCGAAAAATCGCTAGTTCCAACACTGGAGCTAAACGAGGAGGCGAATACCAATGACAAGATAGAAGCTACAAATGCAGAGACCAATCAAGAACATTACCCTGAGGGAGGACTTCAGGGCTGGCTCGTAGTTCTGGGCTGTTTCCTTGTTCTCTTCTCATCCTCCGGTATCATGAACAGCCTGGGCGTGTTTAACGCCTACATAGGGTCGCACCAGCTGGCAGATTATGATGAGGGAAGCACTGGATGGATATTTTCGGTCTATACTTTCTTGTGTTTCGCTGGTGGCATATTCGCTGGGCCCCTATTCGACAAGAACGGGCCGAGACAGCTTATTCTGATCGGGTCCGTATGCCATGTCGCAAGTCTGATGCTCTTGAGCGTCTGTACTGGTAAATTGTCTTCTTTCCAAGTGTTCTCCAACCCGAGAACTCACGGTATCGTGGAAATACATTGCTGACAAAAATAGAATACTGGCACTTCATGCTTAGCTTTGGTGTTCTGAATGGCATCGGGACGTCTCTCCTCTTTAATCCCTCAATCGCGACTGTAGGCCACTGGTTCTATGCTCGCCGTGGCCTAGCGACTGGACTAGCCACTACAGGCGGCGTGTTCGGAGGCATCGCTTTTCCGTTGGCCCTCAACGAATTATTCCATAGGGTTGGATGGCCCTGGGCTATCCGTTCCATCGCCTTCATCTGTCTGTTTTGTTGCGCCATGTCTCTATCACTGGTCAGGAGTCGGCTGCCGCCAGCTAAAGATTCGAAACGGCGCCCTGATTTCCTCATATTGAGGGAGCCGGCTTTCGGACTGACGACACTGAGCATTTTTCTTCTCTTCTTTGCAGGTTTCATACCATTGACGTATGTTCCGGCCTACTTGCTCAAGGAGGGATTTAGCTCGGATTTCAGTTTCCAAATATTACCAATATTCAACGCGGCCAGTATGGTTGGGCGCGTTACGGCTGGATATTGGGGAGATCGTATCGGTATCTTTAACTCCAACTTGGTGTCGATTGCAATTAGCACAATTGCTGTTCTCGCAATTTGGCTACCATTCGGATCCAAAACAGCTGGGATCGTATTATTTCTCATCATCTTCGGGATGGCAAGCGGCAACACCACCAGTATTAGCCCTGTTTGCATTGGAAAGCTCTGTAAGACGCAGTCCTACGGACGCTACTATGCCACGGCATACACCGTCGCTAGTATCGGTGGCCTCATCGGAATTCCGATCGGAGGAGTGATGATCACAGCTACTAACGGCGAATTTTGGGGTATCATCGTGTTAACAGGTGCTCTGAATGCTGTCGCCTTTCTTGTGCTCTGGGCGGCGAAAGTTGTATCAGTAGGGCCCAGAATATGGACCCAATTTTAGCATAGATGCAGCTGTAGAGTATCGGGGTGGCAATGCTCAGTATGTATTTCACAGGTATAATTGAACGGGTATTTAACAGTCCTGACACTGTATTTTCATAGATATAGCTTGAAATAGAGATCAAACCTGTGTTCACTTCGGGAATGAAGCGGATCACCTACACCCGACATTGCAGCACAGGCTTACAGCAGCCAGCCAGGCCCTAATCACTGCGAGTCATGCAAGGACTTTCTAAGGAATCTTGATACCTAACTTGCTATACAGTGACCATTCAAAAGTTCGTGAGCAAGGTACAGTGTACCACCTTAAACAGTAATCTTTAGTTATAAAGAATCCACTATATCTCTTAATAATAAGTATAAAACTAAATAATAAAATAGTACTTTAGTACTTAAGTATAAAAAGTATATACTACTATTTTATATAGGTTTTTAATCTATATAATAGTAAAAAATTAAGTATATTTACTTGTAGGTCTTATGGAGTACCTTGTTATGGGTAATGCAACAGTTCGCCTATAGGCTATAAGTACGTGAGTGAAAAAAAAGCCCAACTGCCCCATCTACCTTATTCCCAAGACGTTTACTTGTAAGATAGGCGCAAGTAGATGCTACCTAAAGTCAGCTGGCAAAACTGATCCCAGTAAACAAGCTAGTGGAAGTGCAAGGTCCCAAGTAAGTGTCTATAACAGTAACAGGCATTGATCACATCAGGAAACTCCGGTGTCGATGGGCTGAGTCCTTATTTCGCATTGATGGATTTAATGAACAAATTAATTTTGTTATCGGCTTGCGCCGATCGGCCCTGCGGTAGGACGTCATAAGTAAACTTCCAGCGCTCCTACAGAATCAAGGCAAGCTGTGTTCAGACACGTATTTCGCTCGGTACATTGGAATGGCTATTGTGCACTGGAACTTTCCATTGATTGCAGAATTCGTCGCCTAATCGCACATAGAGTACATTGTCGCTGATCTGATGTAACCTTTAGCTGATCACGACTTCAATTAGGTTCCGCGACGGGACCAGGTGTTCCCAAACTGCCGAGTCCATTACTCATGTTATTGGTCGGCGAGAATCTTAATTTTCCACCCTGACTAGCGTCCTGCAGTGAAGGCGGTGATTTGTGTTAGGTTTTACCAACACACCAAACTCGGAACAAGCAGTGCTCACGTTTACTTACCCTGTCCCTGGCGTAACATGAATCCCAGGCTCAATGTAGTAGATGTGACGGCTTCACCGTGAAACTTACAGCCGCTGTAGTTATTGAGGTATTATCAAAG